TTTTTTTTTTACTTGTCAAAAATCTTGTGTGTTGACTTATGATATGGGTCTTCAATTCTAGTCCATCGATGAACATGTGTATTTAATATCAGTAACCATGCTGTTTTTATTATCATAGTTATAGTACAACTTGAGACCTAGGATGGTGATTCCTCCAGCTGTTCGTTTATTATTCAGAATTGTTTTAGCTATTATGGCATTTTGTACTTACATATGAATATAAAATGTATTCTTTCAATTTCTGTAAAAAATTGTATTGAAAATTTTATGAGGATTGTGTTGAATCTATAGACTGCTTTTGGTAGGACAGCTATTTTCACTATATTAAAATAGCCACGAGGATGGCAGATCTTCCCATCTTCTGGTGTCTTTCAGTTTCCTTAATATCTTAAAGATTTTAGTATACAAGACTTTCATTTGCTTGGTTAGAGCTATCTCCGAGCCTTTGTGTTGCTGTTGTTGTTTTGGTGGGGCTATTTTGAAAGGTAGTTTCCCTGATTTCTTTCTCAGTCTGTCATTTGTATATTGAAGGGTAATTAATATACAATGTGTGTTAATTTTGTATCTTGCTACTTTGCTGAAAGTGTTCATCAGATGTAGATGTTTTCTGGTGGAGTTCTTAGGGTCTTTTTTGCATAAAAATCATTTCACCTGCAAATAAAGATATTTTGACTTCTTCCTTTTCTATTTGTGTCCCCTGGAGGTCCTTCACTTGTCTAAGCCTTAAGTATTGTATTGAGTAAGTATGGAGAGAGTGAACACCCTTCCTGGTCTTGCTTTCACTGTACTGGAAATATTTCAAATTTCTCCCTGTTTAAGTTGATATTGGCTATGGGCTTACTGTAAATTGTCCTTATTGAGGTATGTCCCTTGTACCCTGGTTTCTCCAGGACTTTTATAATGAAGAGATGTTGGATTTTGTCAAAGATTTTTTTTTCCTGAATCTAATGAGATAATCATCTGGTTTTCATCTTTCAGTCTATGTCATGAACCATTTTTATTGACTTATATATGATGAACTATTCCTGCATCTCTGGAATAAACCCAGCTTCACCATGGTGAGCACTTTTTTTTTTTATGTGTTCTTGGATTGAGTTTGAAAGTATTTTATTGAGAATTTTTGCAGCCATATTCATAAGGAATATTGGTTTATAATTTTCTTTTATTTTTGGGTCTTTGTATGGTTTTGGTATCAGGATAATAATAGTCTCATAAGAAGAATTAGGAAAGGTGCCTTCAGTTTATATTTAGTGAAATAATTTGAGGGGTATTGGCATTAATTCTCTTTTGAAGATTTGGGAGAATGCTGTAATAAATATGTATGACCTTGGACTTGTTTGTTCATTTGTTTGTTTGTTTTGATTGTGAAACTTTAATTACTGCTTTCTATTTCATTTGGGGGGCTATGAGTCTGTTTAAATTGCTTATTTGATCTTGATTTAACCTTGGTATGTTATATATGTCAAGACAGTCACTGATGTAAGTTTTCCAGTTTGGTGGAGTATAGGTTTTTAATGTATGTCTTCATGATTCTCTTTATTTCCTCAGTGTCTGTAGAAATGTCCTCCTTTCATCTCTAATTTTATTAATTTAGATCTTCTCTGTGTCTTTAAGTTAATTTGGGTAGAGCTCTGTCAATCCTGTTGATTTTCTCAAAGAACCAACTATTTGTTTCGTTGATTCTTTGTATTGCTTGTTTGGTTGGTTGAATTTCATTGATTTTAGCCCTGAGTTTGATTATTTCTTGATGTCTGTACTTTTGAGATGTTATTTTTTTCTTCTTGCTCTAGATCTTTAAGGTGTGTCACAAAGCTACTAATATGAGATCTCCCAAACTTATTTATCTATTCATGTATGTATGTATGTATGTATGTATGTATGTATGTATGTATGTATATAATTTTTTTTTGAGACGGGGTTTCTTGTATAGCCCTGGCTGTTCTGGGAACTCATTCTGTACTCCAGGCTGGTCTCCAACTCAGAGATCTGCCTGCCTCTGCCTCCCAAGTGCTGGGATTAAAGGCGTGTGTGTGTACTGCTGCCACCACCATCTGGCGGTCTAAAATCTTTTTGGTATAAGCATTTAGTGCTATGAATTCATAGAACTACATTCATTGTGTCCCATAGGTTTGAGTATGCTGTGTTTTCATTTCATTCAATTCTAAAGTTTTTACTATCCTTCTTGATTTCTACTTGACACATTTTTCATTCAGTATGAGTTGTTCAGTTTCCATAGGTTTGTGTCCGTTCTCTTCTGTTGTTGCTCTCCAGCTTTAATCCATGATGATCATATGGGATGGTGTTATTGCACTCTTCTTATATCTGTTGAGACTTGCTTTGTGTGCAAGTATGTGTTCAATCTTGGAGAAAGTTCCAGGGGCAGCTAAGAAACAAGTATACTCCTTGGAGCTTAAGTGGAAATGTCTGTAAATGTTGGCTAGGGCTATCTCTGATGTTACTGAGCTCCAGCATTTCTGCTTAGTTTTTGTCTAAGTGAAATGTCTATTAGTGAGAGTTGGATACTGAAATCACTCATTATCACTGTGTGAGGATCAATATGTGTTTTCAGCTATAGTAATGTTTCTTTTATGAACTTGAGTGCCCTTGTGTTTGCAGCATAAATGTTTAGAATTGAAATACCCTCTTGGTGGACATTTCCTTTGATGAGTATCTTCCATATCTTTTCTGATTAGATAAAGACTGCTTAAATTTGGTTTTATCATGGAATGTTTTTCTTTCTCTATTGATTATAGTTGATAGTCTGCTGGGAATCGTAGTATAGGCTGACATCTGTGGTCTCTCAGAATTTGTAGAACTTCCTCACAGGCCTTCTGGCTCTGAGAGTCTCCACTGAGAATCCATGTGTTATCTAATGGGTATGTCTTATATGTTACTTTGTCTTTTTTCTTTGCAGCTTTTAATAGCCTTTCTTTGTTCTATACATGTAGTGTTTTGATTATTATGTATTGTGGAGAATTTCTTCTCTGGTCCTGTAATTTTGGTGTTCTATATACTTCTTTTACCTTGTAGGTACCTCCTTCTTTAGACTAGGGAGATTTTCTATCTATTTTTAAAAATATTTTCCATGTCTTGGCTTTCTTCTTCTTCCTTTATCCTTATTATCCAGAGATTTTGTCTTTTTGTAGTGTCCCATATGTCCTGGATGTTTTGTACCTGAACTGTTTTTTAGGTTTAACTTTTGTTTTTTACAGAGCTATTAATTTTTTTTAATCTTACCTTCAGCACTCGAGATTCTTTCTTCTATGGCTCATAATCTGTTGGTAAGGCTTACCTCTGAGGGTTTCATTTGACATCCTACAATTCTCAATTACAGTTTGGGTTTTTTTTAATGATTTCATTTTTCTGTTTTACTTTCATTATTTCATTGAACTGTTTGTGTTTTCACAGACTTGATTAAGGGATTTATTAAGGGTGTCTATATCTAGTCTTTGTTGGGTAGATGTTCTACACTTTGGTTGTTGTTATATTCTCTGGATCCCTGACAAATGTTGTGTCTGCGAAGTGCTTCTATGATGAGCCAGCAGATGACAGACAGGAGTGGAGATAGACTAGAAGAGGAGGCTGAGAGAGCTAAGCTGAGTTCTTAGCTCTACTTCTAGTTATGTGTATCTGTGGCTATGTGGCTATGTTCCCATGAGTCTACTAATTTTGGGTATGTGTGTCTGTTTGTAGGTATGTTTTGGGATAGCATATATTCCTGGTGCGGGTGCCCTCATAGGATAGAGGATCAACACCCTTGAATCCTGGAGCTGGAGTTATAGACAGTTGTGAGTAGCTGATGTGATTGGTTTTTCTACAAGAACAGTGTGTACTCTTAACCACTGAGCCATCTTTCTCTCAAGCTTTGCACTAAACTTTTGAATGTTGCAGACATTAAAAGCTAAACTTCAATTTAAACTATTTGTTTTAATTACTGTTCTATTGCTCTGAAGAGATGCCATGACCAAGGCAACTTATGGGAAAAAAACATTTAGTTGGGCTTTGCTTGGAGTTTCAGAGGCTGAGTCCACACCATCATGTGGAGAACATGGCAGTGAGCCATCAGGTGTGGTGGTGAAAGCAGTAGCTGAAAGTTCACATCTGATCCACAAACAGGAGGCAGAGAGAGACTTACAACATACAATGGCAAATATACATTACCATTCCAAAAGGGAGGGAAGGGGGCATAGTGAGGAAATACCAAACCTAAGCAAGACTGACTCCAGCAGGACAAACTCCAAATCCTGTAGCTCCGTGTCTGATGTCAAAGGGATTAGATAACTCTTTGGATCTCCCATTCCTCCCAGTTTTGCTGATTGCAATGTACTTCTCTCTTTTGGGCCGATTCTACTCCTAGTTTGCAGTTCTCCTCGTGATACCTCATTGACTTGGCATCCTCAAAATCTTGGCGTCTCCAACCCAGTCCTAGCTTTATCTTCACAGCTTCATGCAATGGCGCCTTGGATCTCCATGCAGCAGAGACCCCTCTGCCATAACACCTTGCCTCAGCTGCTCTCCTTGAGAGAAAAGATTTCACAGCCCCTTTACTCCTGCATGCTTCTTGACTCTAAAACCAGAACCATGAGCTGATGCTACTAACTTCTTCACTTACATGGGTAGAACTTGGCCCCTCTTTGAATTACATTTGCCTAAGCTTTGATCTGTTGATGCTTTCCTTTGCTACATACGGTTTCCTTTGATTTAGGACAGTGGTTCTCAACCTGTGGGTTGAAGGCCCCTTTCACAGGGATCACCTAAGACAATCCTGCAACTCAGATATTTACATTACAATTCCTAACAGTAGCAAAATTGTAGTTATAAAGTAGCAATAAAAATAATTTTATGGTTGGGCGTCACCACAACATGAGGAACTGTATTCAATGGTTGCAGCAGTAGGAAGAGAACCTTTGCTTTAGGAAAGGATTCCTTAGACATTTCCTTCTTTAAGGTGGAAGCTTAGCTTGGTGAGGTCTTGCCCTTCAGGGCACCATCCCTTTATTCCATTTCTTCTTATCTCTTCCAGCACAAACCAAGTTCCAACATTTAATTTCCTGGTGTTCTTTTTCTTCTCAAACTGTATATTTTATATTTCTTTTTACTGTTTGCAGATCTGCGTAAGAGTAGTCACTAATAACCACAGGACATAGTCAATATTAGATTGTCTTGAAATCTCCTCTGCCAATGATATTATTCCCAAACTCTTCAATTTAGCCTCCAGTGCATTTTCTTTTTTTGGGGGGGGATGGCAAAAGAAGCCATTTTTTTAAACCAAAACATCACAAGAGGTCTCTAGCTCAGTTACTAATATTGTTCCCTCTGAAACCTTTTAAGCCACAGTTCACATTGCTGTCTGCCCTACTGTCTTCCACATTCCTATTATGATGGCTGTTAAGCCCTATTTATGGCATTCAACAATTTTCCTTATCTAAAGTCCCAAAGTCCACATTCTTCCAACAACCCACATGGTAAGGCCTGTCACAGCAATGCACCACTCCCTGGTACTAACTTCTTTTCTGCCTTAGTTACTGTTCTATTGCTATAAAGAGATATCATGACCAAGGCAACACTTACAAGAGAAAATATTTAATTGAGGGCTTGCTTACAGTTTGAGAGAGTGAGAGTGAGTCCATGACCATCACAGAGGGAAACACAGCAATGGGCAGGCATGGCTCTGGAAATAGTAGCTGAGAGCTTATATATGATCCACAAGCAGGAAGCAGAGAAAGAGAGAGACAGAGAGAGACACAGAGACAGAGAGAGAGTGAGTGATTGCTCAAATCCTATCCCTAGTGACATAACTCATAACTCCCCAACAAGGCCAAACTTCCTAATCCTTCCCAAAAGAATTTCAACAACTTGGAACCAAACATTCAAACATATGAGCCTATGGGGACCATTCTCCTTCAAACCAACAGAGATAGTATTTTAAACCATCACTTGCAGAGCTATAAAATGTCTTACAAAATCTATGCGATAAAGTAGTAGGGTATGCTATACATGTGATTTCCCACTGAAACTCATATTCTTTTGTGTATATATGTGCACACATGTTCATGTGTGTGCATACAGGTACATGCTTGTACATGTGTGGCTAGGTGATTGTGGTGGTCAGAGGACAGACAACCTTGTCTATCATTTCTCAGTTTCTCACTAACCTGGAACTCATCAATTAGGCAAGGGCTGGCTAGCCAGCAAGCCCCAGGGATCAACTTGCCTCTATATACCAGTGCTAGGGTGCTAGGGTCATTAGTGTGCCCTTTTATAATATGTGAGTTCTTGATATCAACCTTTGATCTTCATGCTTGTAAGATAGACACTTAACCACTTGAGTTATCTCCCTATCAAATTCTTTTACACACACACACACACACACACACACACACACACACCTCTCTTTCCATATATATATTGCTCTTATAACAGTGTTTTTCAATTTTTGATGTAATAAATCAGCCAAGAAGGACCTAAAAGACGAAGTCCAAGGATACTGACCTTAGATGACGTCTGTGAAGATCCTGTCTTAACAGGTGCAATAGATGATTCTAGTGTAGGCGTTGTAAGGAGCATACTAAATAAAAGTACCACACTAGGGCATACTGTCTCCCTTTTCTGGGGGCAGTCCCTTTATATGGTACTTAATGGTAGCTCTAGATTTCAATTCTTATCAGTCTTGTTACCTGTGGTACACTATATTGTCTTTGTCTCCTATATAAACATGCTATTTTTTTTTCTCCTCACTGAAACATTACAGGACAGACAAGGAACTGTTTTTGTATTATATGAATCTCTGAAGAGACACAGGTTTGGCATGTTGTAAGTATGAAGTATGTCTATAAGATATAATAAGCTTAAAAAATGTCCATATCAACCAACAGGATTGGTGCCTCTGTGAATTCTAATCAGTATGCTTATTTATCAGAAGTCTATCTTGTTTTATTTAGAGCCTCAAGTACTTCACAAAGTACCTGTAGATGTTGGCATCAGGTTTTTAAATATAGTTATCCACAACCATGAGGTAGGAATCTACATTTAATATAAGCTTACACACATATAAGGCTCAAATCTTATTCATAGGAAGCCAGTTCAGATGACCCAGTTGTGAAAAGCTAGTTGTCATTCTGGTATGCTTAGAATAGTACTCCCGTGACCTGGGCAGATGTTCTTCCAAAAAGTATGGCTGGAGCCAGTTTGGGTTTGGGTGCAGTCTTCTCAGAGACTGTGTATGCTGGACAGAGTTCTCATGGCAGAGCCATTCGCCCCTACTGATGCCGCTGCACGTGGAAATGCTCGTTCTTCCCCTTTGGAGAGATAATGTGGCTACAGTTTAATCCAGTGCTGTGATACCAGAAGTGAAACCTATTTATAATATCCACACAACCATGCATTCACTTCATCTGCCCTGGCATTTATATCTAACAGGGGCTAAGAAAGGAGCTGCCTTCTGCTTCCCAGTGATATCCCATCCCTCAGCTCCCTCCTTGCTCTGAACCTTAACATAGATGTTTACACTCTACAGATGTGCCAGTGCAATGCTGGGGCAGAAGCAATGCAAAGGCAAAAGGCAATTACTGTGACTGGGCCAACAAAGTGGCCAATTGGATTTGATATTGGCAAGCTAATTTTAAAAAATTAGTATTTTCCAGAGTAGGAATCTAATTAAATGTGAGACCTGAAAGCTCCAAGTCCAAAAGCTCAGGAACATACAAGACCTAAAAATCAGAACACAGAGATACAAACTCTCACAGTCCACCAGCTGGCATGAATGATGAATTACAGAGGGCAAGGTGCCCTCAGGCTGCAACCACATAAGCCCTCATGCACACAGGACAAGGTGGCAGGCCAAACCCAGACCTAGGATTCAGGTGGGTAGAAACAGGTCATCTGAGGCAACCAGCTCACATCATTAGGAAGATTTCAAGCACCAAGAGCAAATAAGCAATCTGAGATTCATAAGGGGTTAGGGTGGGGGTGGGGGACCTAACCACTGGTCTTGACCTGCATCCCAGCTTCAGCTGCAGAAACGGTCCTATCAGTGGACCATTCCTGCTTCCTAGGAAGTCATTGCTACTCACACATTCTACTGAAAAGTCTCCACTGACATAGACTTCAGATTCTTTACCTTTTCTACAATGTTGTATGACCCTTCATTTTCTCATCCCTTACTGCAGTCACCAGCTAGAGATGGTTAGAGCAGGAAAGGAACATGGTAATTATTATAGGTCAGAAACAGGCTTAGAGAAGAGATGTGACTTGGCTGGTCCCAAAGCAGATCATCTATCTATGCAGTAATCCTCACCCTAGATTTTTGTTCACTAAAGTTACAGAAAGTGGCAGCTTTGCAGAGGGAACCTAGTTATTGGACTTTCTTGCATTAAGGTACATAACTGTTTACATCTGTAAAAATTGCTGATTTACTTTTTCTGAATATTAGACACACTAGAAGATCTCCTTGAATTCTCACTTGGTCTACCTGGATGTAGACTGACAGCTACACAAAAGGAATTGCACTAAGCTGTGAACACAGGCAACTATACAGGAAAAAAAAAAAGATAATCCTTAATTTCCCACAGGACTTTAATTGAAGCTTTTTAGGAGCTGGATGGGCTTTGTTTGGCATTACTGAAATCATGTCATGCCAGGTGTAGGGTGCCAGTCAGTCACCCTTCTAGTAAAGTGGGAGACACTTCAAGAGGAGACGACTCTACAAAGCAGACACGTGGTTTGGCTTTTCTGGGATAACATCACCACAACTCCATTCATTCTGAGATAGTTCTGGAGGATATAGAATTGGAGGAGAAATTACAAGGAAGGGGAATATGAAGATAAGTCTAAAAAATTGAAAGAAGGCATTTAACTACTATAGACAAAACATCATACATTCACACACATACTTACAATTTTTTAAGATGGATCTCATGTATACATGAAAAATGCTAAAGAAGCTTATTGAAGACAGATGTTCTTAGCCACCCAGCCCCAGATCTTGGTTTTGTTTATTTTGGTAGATCCCAGAAATATGTCACTCTAAGAACCCAGGATCTTACACTAATTCTGGTAGTAAAATACAAATAACTTTGCAAAATTATTCAGTCTGGAGTTGATTTTGATATGATTTACTTCTTTGTTTGTTTGTAGAACCCACTATATAATGTGACCAGGCCAGCCTGGAACTCAAGAGACCTGCCTGTCTCTGCCTCCCAAGAGTCAGGATTAAAGGCATGAGAACCACTCCCAGATTATTTATCTCCTTAAAAGAAATTTATTTTCTAATGGTTGTTCATAGAAGGGGTGGGCCTGTCCTTGGATTTGGGAATATAACTCAAAAAGCTCAGAATCACGGTTTCAGTTCAAGTCATTCATTGGTAGAAAAAGGAGATGAAGACCCAGAGTTAAGGAGCTCCCACAAAGTAAGCCAGTAGCAAGACAAAACAAACAACAAAAACAACTGGACCCCAGTTTTAGGTACCCTGAGGCTTTGGGTTTAGGGCTTGTTTCCAGGAGGTGACTGTGGATGCAGTGTCCTCCAATATCCTCATTTTGCAGTTGACCTAAAAGGTGCGTCTCCTTTAAGTGTTATCTCCCTTAGGAAGTAACACTTATTAAAAATTAATCCACTCATGCCAGACATCATGATACATGCCTTTAATCCCTACACAAGGCAGGCAGATCTCCGTGAGTTCTAGTCCAGCCGGGCTATGTCATGAGACTCTCGATGAAGCAATAACGACGACGACAACAACAACAACAACGACAACAACCATACACTTAGCCAGTTTTGTTTTCCCTTTGATAAGGTCTAAAAAATAGCTAGAAAGCTCTCTGAATTTTCTCACATTAAAACACACAATAATCCACTTGTTTGACATGTTCTCTGGCCTTGGTATAATTGTTATAGAATAACAGCAGCTGTTCATGAATGGGAACATGTGTCTTTGAACATGAACTACTCATAAGAAGCAGAAATTACTTGTTCACATGAAACTGAAAATAAAACTCAGACATGCTTCCAGAAACCAGAGATGCAAATGTCAGGCATGCACGACATTTAGCAATGGCTCTTTTCAAAATCAGCACTGCTGTCCTAACTTAGTAACCAGCACTGCTGACCTAACTTAGTAACCAGCACTGCTGTCCTAACTTAGTAACCAGCACTGCTGTCCTAACTTAGTAACCAGCACTGCTGTCCTAACTTAGGCTTCTACTAGAAGTGACTCAACCTATTGCTATATTCTGCTAAGTTGATTAATAAAAAATATTTATTACACAAATCCTTTCTGTTGACAAGTTAAAATGGTGCCTCATCTCTCATATCTCCCTGAAGATTGCCACCTTGTGAGATTGAAAATACTCATTAAATCCCATCACCAGCCACACAAATGAGAGGGCGATTGTTTTTGAGCATGTGAGGAGAATCGCTGGTAAACTCATTTGTTTGGATATCATTAACAGAACAATCGGTGTGGATCTCCAGGGGGTCCTCATGACCTTTGCTCGAAATCTCTTCATCATCCATCAAGAAATATCAGCACCTAATATGCAAGGCGAGAGCAATTTTAAGGTGAGGTGTTAATTAACTAACGATCCTGGTTAATTTCTATACAAGGGCTGAAAATACCTCATGCTGTATTGTAAACAAGTGCTAAACCATCTTTATTTTTTTTCTTATAAGCAGTACATATTTTACAATGAGCAGGGTCAATTTTGTAAGGTTCCCACTGAACCCGTTAGTTAAATTTAATAGTTTGAAACTTTTTCTTTGAAATATAGTAGGCTCGCTTTAACTCGCTGCCATTTTGAAAGCCAGATTCATGAGACAACAGAGCTCTCTGATGTTGGGGGTGAAGCTGGAACGTCACAATGGAACCAAAGTCTAGACTGTAACTAATTTATGGTGTTCTTGTACTTCACATAATGCATGTCTGGTTAGTGATTCCTGGGGAGCCTAGCTTCTAAAACCAGACTCTCAGACCCAAGAACCGTGTGCCTTAAAGAGAAGCAGAAGAAAAATCCCAGCATCTATGTGGGACATCCACCCACCTCATTTCTCCAAAGTGAGGTGGACCTTCTCCATTAGCCTTTCTAAGCTTCCGTATGGCCTCTAAGACCCAAAATCTTCCAAATTCTAGAATGCAGGAGACAGCTGCTGAAAAGAGCTGAAGGCCTGTCATGATGAGCAAGTTTTTAATACAACTCCCAGCCTAGGCCTTTGCCCTGTTTAAATGAATCACATATATCTAAGGACTCAAATGGGAAATCACATGTTTTTCTCTTAAATAGAAAGCTCATGTAAAACTTCACGTAAAAAAAATTTTTTTTTACTTAAGTTAGGGTTTAACCCCTTTAGTAACTATGTTTCACTCTTCAAAATGATTTAAGACCTAAGACACTGATCATTGGTTTCTGCACATCATGACTGAGATTTGACATGAATTTATTTATTTATTTTCTCTAAAATGAACAAATTAGAGCAAACTGGTGCTTCTGAACTTTCACACTGCAAAGTTCAAGGACAAACCCACCCTTTCTATCTACTGACCACCAGTATCTTTTTTTTTTTTTAAGAAACCAAGTAATATTCAAAGTCAATTTGAACTTAAGAGTTGGTAATTTTGAAAAGTAATTTGTGTTTCTTTACCAAAGTCCACACTAGACTTTCATCTTCCTAAGACAACCGATTCCTGGGCTCTACCCAAATTAACAAAACCAAAATCTTTGGTTTGGGATAGTGGGGCCCAAGAATGTGTCTCCCTCTGAAAGGCCCAGTGCTTCATCACTGCTCAGTTCCCAAGAGACCTGCAATGGTTCGATTCCATTTGAGTGTGTGTCCCAGTGGCTCATGTGGTGGAAGCTTGGTTTCTAGTTCCCCAGGATGAGAGGTGGTATGAACTAGTGGGGAATTCATCAGGGAGTCCTGTTAGAAGACATGGATGCAGTTCCCACAGAATGCTATTTAGTCCTTGCCAAAGCACAAGATTGGCCTCTCCCCACTTCCTGGGCTTCCTGACTCACTATGAGTGAGTTCCCATGGTGCCATCTGTTCTGACGTGATGCAGCGAAGGGGTGAGAGGTTGGAGGTACCCAATCTTGGACTTTCAGCCTCCAACATCGGCTCCAAAGCTAAATAAACTACATGTGTATATATATATATATAT